GATCGACCTGTAACTTCCAGAGATATCCACAAAAGATCGCTTACTGTATATCGCACCACAGGATGTACTCTAGATATCTAGATCTAGATCTAGAGCCGAGACAACTCACTGTTTTTCAAACAGATTTAGCAGCATTCATGACTTGATGCATGTTTATATAATCGTCTTTCATTAGTTTCTGTATATTCTGAAAACAAGATTAAACTTTTACAAAACAATCAGCACATCAGCTGACCCTCAGGCCGAGACGAAATTGACTTCGCTTCCTCATTAGTGTAAAACAGCCCATAAGGGAAACTACTCTTGATTTATTTACTATTTGCAATTTAAAGATCGCAAATTGCCGAATACAACAGAAACCCCCTCCCAGCAAAACACCGAATAAAATTCATCCATGAGCACGGTGCGACTTTTTTCGTGAATGTAGATCTAGATTTAGATCTATATCTAGATCTAGATTAGATCTAGTCTAGATCTAATCTAAATCTAGAATAGATTCTAAAGGTTTCATCATTTTTTATAAAAAAGTGAATCTTAGATTCTACTTTTCTTTTTTTTATAAATATTCTCAGTCGAGGTTTTACGGCACTCGCAACTGCATAAGATCATAATTTGAGTGCCAAGGGGTGGATGTCAACCGTGATGTCATTGATGTCAACATAGAAGTCCTTACAGCCTTACACTTAGGCCTACAGGGAATGATGTGCAGGCTTTCGGCTTACTCTGCTCACCTCTCTAGGCTAGCTTCATAACGCTTCTACAGCACATCAACAGTCTGCCCCGACCAGATTGGCTTCGACTATCAAAGGCACCCCCGGAAATAGCGGGTCACAAGAGTGTGACAAACGAACAAAAACTAAAAATCTAGAGGAAATAATGACGATAGATCTAGTAGTAAGGATTAGGAAAGAAAAAGCAGCAGTGGATCCCTGTTGCAGTTCAGGCACAGTTATGAGTATGACTTTGATGAATCAGCCCATTTACAATTCTACTGTGCATATGAGAACTTGTTAATGTCCCCCGTTTGGGAATGGCTTAAAGACACCTCAGGCAGTAGCACTGCCCCCCC